AGAACTAGTGTCCCTCACTTAAATAAGGGCACATGTGTCTTTTCCATTCTATTAATAATATAAAAACATGTTTGGCCGAATGGGGGAGTGACTTTTACCCTAATTCGAACCAGACTTTTCTTCTCTCTTTTTCTCCTCCTTTCTCTCTCTCTTTCTTCCCTCTTTCTTCCTCTTTCTTCTTGACTGTTATCAGACTAACAGAACTCAAAGGCAGGCCAAATTATAACAAGTGTTTTGGATATTTTTGTGCCTCCTTTTAGAAGATTCTAACAGAGGTGGTCTACTTACAATTGTTTCAGCAACGGTTAAAATCTCCATGGGAGGTTTCAATACGAGCTTTGTATTGATCTAGGGAACCATCAACCTTCAATTTGATAGTATAAACCCAACGACTCCCAATAATAGAAGCATTTGAGGGTATAAGCACAAGGTACCCAGTGGTATTCTCATGTAAAGCAGGAATTTCTGCATCCATTGCTTCTTTCTAGTGTGGGCTATTAATGGCTTGCTAATATGATTGAGGAGTTTTTGTGGAGGATAAGACAACAAACAAGGAATTATGGTTTGAAGGAAATCCATAACAGTCAAGTGGTTTAGAAATACGAGTAGAGTGACAAAGAGAAGTAATAGAAACAAAAATAGAATCTGAAGGGGGGTGTCTGAAGAAGGAATATCACTTACAAGAGCAATGGTAGAGTGATGGTCTAAAATAGGAGGAAGGGGGATCATAGGCATAGGATCTAGGGCATTTATCCATTTTTGAGAGAAGATGAGGAAATCCTTTACACCAGTTGGAGGAAAGACATCATGTGAATCAAAGTTTTGCAAAAAGTAKAAATAGATGGTGCAAACAATCTAGTAACTCCAATAAATAAGGATATATGCTCAAGGAAAATAACATTGCGAGAAGCACGAATACAGACTGTGCAGATAGCTTAGAACGTTTTTGAGAAGGAAGATGTATAAAACAAAGACATCCAAAAACATGAAGATTAGATAAGTCCGGAGGATGACTAAACATTTTTTTTTAAAGAGAGACATATTAGCAAGAACAGAAGAGGGGATATAATTGATCAAAACACAATTGTAGTAGCTGCCTCTACCCAAAATGAAAATAAAGCATGAGACTCTTGTAGTAAGGTTCTCACAACACTAAGCACGTGTCCATTCTTATGCTTGGCCACTCCATTTTGTTGAGGTGTATCTGAATAGCTTCATTAAACTTATATTCCCTGGCTCTTCAAATAGGACAGAAATCTCCATTAGTGTATTCTCCCCTTGAATCTGAGTGGAAAATACGCACATGAGATTGAAATCGAACTCATACCATAGCATGAAATAGATGAAATGTTGGAAAAACTTTTGACTTGTGCTAAAGAAAACAAATTCATGTGTACCTGGTACAATATCAATGAACAAAACAAAATACTTGTATCCAAGCTGAGAAGCAACATATGAGATTGAAACAAGAAACACATGATGTATCAAAGGTATGTGACTCATACCACATATGCACACGAGATTGAAGTCGAACTCATACCATAGCGTGAAATAGATGAAATGTAGGAAAAACTTTTGACTTGTGCTGAAGAAAACAAATCCATGTATACCTGGTGCAGTATCAATGAACAAAACAAAATACTTGTATCCAAGCTGAGAAGCAACAGATGAGATTAAACAACAAGAAACACATGACGTATCAAAGGTATGTGGAGTGTCTTGATGTATTTTAATACTATAGTCCCTATTGGATTGATGGTAAACCTTCTTCAAATAGGCATACATCTCATAAGTTGTTTGCATTCTTCTCATGGGCACAACAATATGGGACACTATCAAACTAAGAATCCAGGAGTATTTTTCAATTATCTAGCTTCTATTGTGAAAAAGGCCTTGGCATTGGTTTCATCAGGTTTAGTAACCTTCCCATCCAAATAACCTTACAAACCTTTTCCTTCAACAAAGAAATCAAAATGGTAGGGGTGCAACTGGATCGGATGAATTCGGATCACCCCCTATCCGATCTGAGAAGATCCGATCTAATATATATTATGTATTTATAAATATAAATATGTATATAATACACATATATTTGTTATTTATTTATTTATAAATATATCTTTTACATTATATTTTTATAATTTTGTTATATTATTTATTTTTTATAAAAAACATGTATATTTATATAAGTTGGATCGGATCAGATCCGAAGATCCGACTTGCCGATAGGATTCGAATTCAAATTTAGTCCTATCAGATCCGATCGGATCGGATCCGACATGAACAGTGTCGGATCGGATTCGAATGTGATCCAATCCATTTGCATCCCTACAAAATGGAACTTCCTCATGCTATAATTAGTTCCATCAAATTTCACCGGAATAATGTCAACCTTCTCAACCATTCCAGATAATAATCACAGTCCAAAACAAAATAACAGCACTGAAACTGATGCTAAAATGAGAGAAGACACGTGATCAACCAGCCAAACTTGATCAAGAATCAGTCCAAGCACTGAAGGGGGTATCACACCACTAAAAGAAACTGGATTTCTCAAAAGAAAACCCTTAACAGCAAATCTAGAAGGATGACAATCCAGAAAAAGAATGTTACAGGACTGTCAAAACCCTTCTATGAACATATCARAACTTTGATCAGACCAAACTGGTAATAAGTGAAGGCTAAGGTGACACTAACTCCAGAATCTTAGGTTGATCGGATCATCTAAGAAATCAATGAAACACTAACCTGTTAGGCATCTTTTCCAAGAAAATTGTACCTGCTTTGGCTGATCAAAACAACCTTCAGAAAAAGCCTCAAACAAAAGTTGATGACAGTCCAAAAACTCCTTAAACAACCCTTCAACATCCAAGCTTTCAAATAGGATCAATAGCTGGTATAATTGACCTGCTGTGATACCATGTTATTCTACTGGTTYGAACAAGAGAGCATAAGAATTCAGGGGTGTCAATGGAAAAAGGGGTGAGCATTTGGTTTATTAGGTTCGGTTTTTAACAAAATTTTAAAACCGAACTGAAAAATAAAAACCGAACCGAAAAATTTTAGAAAAACTGAAATAACCTAAACCGAAAATTTCGGTTCAGTTTTCGGTTAAAACCGAATTTTAATAATATATTCTATACCAAATATTATAACATATATATATTATATTATAAAATCAAATTTCATTATATTAATACATTAATATATAAATATATAAATATATAATATATTATATGTTGCATATTATATTATATATTACATATTATATACTAAAGTGTAGTTTATTCGGTTAACTGAATTTGTAATTCTAAAAACCAAATTAACTGAACTGAATTAACCAAAAACCGAACAAACTGAAACCGAAATTTTCGGTTTGGTTTTTCAGTTTTAACCGAAGTTTTCGGTTTGGTTTTTCAGTTTTAACCGAATAATGCTCACCCCTAAATGGAATGAATCGATCCCCACCCGCAAAGAGTCCTATATATATTAATGATATGTATAATTACAATAAAGCCCTTACAGGGCTGAAACTTGAAAGATGAGAAAAAGAAATAAAAGAATATATTTAAGAGTACAACAAGGACTATTGTATTACAATACATCTGGACTTTTCACATGTAGAAGATGCAAGGTTTACATGTGAAATATCTCAAGCTATTTATTTGTTCTCTTTTCTAGTTTGACAGTCGCTTGAAAATTTTTTGATGTGGTACTAAGATGGAACTGATGCWCAGAAAATTTACATTGAGCCTGCAAAAACCCAGATTACCTACTGGCTGATTTTGTGGATGTAAACCCTGGGTGTATTCTTGGCTTCATGTGGATTGGGGATGTAAACCAATTATCCATTGGCTGCAAAATCCAGTTTTCTGGAGTTCTGCATTATCTGAATGACACACACAAGGAATCCAAATATATGCTAATTTTTGCAGAATTCCATTCCCAAAGACTGCTTATAAACATACGGTGCAGAGATGCATCATGGGACCATAGTAGCCTATTACCCTTTGTTTGTCAAAGATATATCATGAATGCTATTAATACAATGTGTAATACATAGTCATGTCAATTTCCAACATAAATTATGTAATGGACAGAACTAATTATAATTTCAATGTTCTAGAACCGTGGCTCTGATCTGTTTGCTTATCTATCAGCATATACTCTGGTTGTCTTTCAGCATGTAATAAGTTTATACTCCAGCTCTCATCAAAATCCCGTTTTTGCTCCATGCGTTGGTCACTTAGCATGTTAGAATTTTTAACTAGCAAAGGACAGTATTTTTTACTTTAAAATGTTGAAAACAACCAAGATGACACATTTTGATATAATTAATAAAATTTCTGGTTATTGATAAAAAACGAATCAAGATGATGAAATTACCATTAGTCATATCTTGTTTGCTATGGTGGGAGGAGGTAGTGGCTGTAGACAGTTGGACCATTGTGACAGATTAAGTTGTGGTGCAGGTACATGGCATTGTGCAGGATAGGAATGGTAAAATAGTGGCCACACTATTTGGAAAATGGGATGAAAGCATGCATTATGTTATTGGAGACTACTCTGGGAAGGGAAAAGGATCACAACCATTGTCAGAAGCCCGCATTCTCTGGAAGAGGAGCAAGCCTTCCAATTTCCCCACCAGATATAACTTGACACGCTTTGCCATAACACTAAATGAGCTTACCCCTGGGCTCAAGGTTATTTGAATGGACCTATTTGGAGTTTATGTCAATTTCCAGGATCATCTTTGTTTCATCACTAATAATGTTTTTCAGTTAATAATCCAACATTGATCTATATATGCAGGAGAAGTTACCTCCCACGGATTCAAGGCTTAGACCAGATCAAAGGTGCCTTGAGAATGGGGAATATGAGTTAGCTAACTCAGAGAAGTTGCGGCTAGAACAGAGGCAACGGCAGGTGAATTATATATGTTGCCTTCCTGTTTTTCGGCCTTTTTCTTCCCCACCCCTCAGGATATTGGTTTTGCATTGAAAAGGAATGAATTAGAGATATTATTTAATGGTGGCATTTATTAATCAAACTGCAGGCAAGGAAGATGCAAGAGAGGGGTTGGAAGCCACGTTGGTTTGCAAAGGAAAAAGGAAGTGAAACATACCGCTACATCGGTGGGTATTGGGAGGCTAGAAAACAGGGAAGGTGGGAATCCTGTCCTGATATCTTTGGCCATGTCCCAATAGATCAAACATTAGACTAATAGAATCAAGACCCCCCTCCTCTCTTTCCCCTCCATTTTTTTCTAATACTCGATTGGCTGCCAATGCTTGCCATTTTCGAGCAATTTAAATGCCACATTGCATGCATGTAAGTAGAATAGATGAAGGTGTTGGAATTTAATAAAAAGAATTCTCTCTCTCTCTCTCACATACACACATGCACGCACACATACACGCGCGCGCACAACTCATGGAAAGGACCAAAAGGTTAACCCTTCTGATTGAGATTTGCGATTGGACAGGTAACTGAGATGAGACGGGATGTCTTGAAAGCAAAAAATATAGTCCCAAAGCACAGGCATCCAACAATACATTGGGAACATCTATCGATCCATGAATTTAACATGGATGTATGGGATATGATACCCATGAATTTAACATACTCAAGCCAATATCTGTTTCTACAGAATTCCATATTTCTCCCAGAATTGCTAGGTAGGGCATCCAGTTCATTTTCACTGTCATATCCAAGGCGATGAATGCATTTTTTCCAGGTTGCCATCATGCTGGTATCCCTTTCAGCATTAAAGTCCACTTTATTGGACTATTGCCTAATCATTCCAGCATTGAAGCTTCCAGACTTAAAAAACCAAAAGAAGCTTCTGCCTTTTGGAGCCAAGCAAGCTTTTCACGCCTGGATGATGTTATTGCTCATGTGGAGGTTCCAATTTGAGCCGTCGTGCATGACTACCATGTGGATCCATTTGCTGCAAAGTGAATCAGCCCCTTGTATAACTTCAGAATGTTCTTTTCTTGAAGCGTTCTTTCTAATCTCTGTCAATGTGGACGAATTTGCCACATCAGTCATGTAGCAAAAGGATTCATCATCCATATGGACAATTGGTTTCTGGTCATCCAGACAATTGATATGGAGTTGTCCAAACTCCAAACAACTAAATACAACTATTGTTTCGTACCTTCACAAGATGGGATCTAAGTGGGTACTCTGGGTAATGATACAAAGAATGTGGGCTCAGCAATTAATTAGTTCAAGACTGAACTCTCCAATCTTGGCAAATGCTCCAAGCACATTGAAACTACGTCTTGTGTTTGTATACTAATATTTATCCTCGTTCACCACTAGTGCTCCACTACGCACCACCAGGTAAGAAGGGCCCTTCTCAATTTTACACTGGAGGAGTTCAGATAGTCTCCTCTCAGAGCACACCCCGCATGTGCCCCATATACACATCTCAGGAAACATCTTTCGTATTTGTTATGATGAGATATTCCCAATGCATGGCTGGGATGTGTTGAGACCCTTGTGTACCACACTCAATAGGGAACCCATCCGAATCCCCACTTGAGCTGTTAAATAGATCATTATCCTGCACTTTGTGCATATAGAAGTTGAGATGTTGGCATCCAACTGAATGAATTTGTGTCCTCCAAGTAACCATCTTACCATTGTTTCTTTTCTTTCGTAAGTGTTTCTGTACAGCTCTCCATGTCACCAATCGTTGTCATTGTTTTTCTGAGAAGTATGTGGCTTTCGTTGTCACCACCTTCATTTTGTCAAGTCGAAACTGAGTTTTAATCTCTTTTCTACTTCGTAAAACCAAGGGAGCAAATTGACAGGAGAAAGTAATGCAAGTTCATGTGAAAATATGAAGCATGCATGAATGAAGAAATCAGCCACAYAAGCTGAAATAGAGATGGAAATGGCATATGAGGAATCGTATAGATGGTCTCTCCCTACAAATATCAGCCCCACATGCATTCCAAATGACAAGCGACATACCTATCAATTTTTTTTTTCTTTTACTTCGAAATTAACAAAAGCTGTGAAATAGTAATAAAAGAGTTGTAGTGTTGGAAGGAGAAACGCCATAGTTGGGAGAGCGTCAGGCATTTCTTTTGTGTTAACTTATGCACATACAAAATTCAGGTGCAGTAAAAGTTGTTAGATAAGCATTTCTGCCATTTGAACCAGTTGGAGCCAGAACTTTGAAAGCGGCGGTTTCACTGCTTTCTTCTTTTGGACAAAGAAAAATGGCTTGTGAATTTCATTATCAAAAATCATCAAGCGTGAAGGAAGTTCCCATTTCAAAAAGCCGCAAAAGGGACTCCCCGGAATCATCCCAATTGCAGCCTTAATAATGGTACCTTTGCTCTTTCTCTCTCTCTCTCTTAATGAGGGAACTTCAATTGCCAATTTTTGTCCTCCTTAATAGTAACTTGCTAAATTCCCTTGTTCTACTTGCTA